ATGTGATAACTCACATAAAGAGCTACGCCACACTTGACGGCCAGTGGAGCGGTCAGTGAAGAACAGTGCGTAGCCCGACAGATTTGCTTTGCCATCTGTGATAGTGGGCCAAACCCGAATAATAATAGTGTCGCACATGGAATTCTACTAGTTGCGAAAATCTAGCAAATTGCCCTTTATTGTGCCAGAGTTTTACTCAGGTACCTCGGTGTGTCGGAGAGTTTTGACAATAGTGGTTGCTAATGGCTTGTGCTGTTTAGAATTTGTCACTGCAGTTGACCGTGAAAAGTGCGTCGGCCCACATGTGTTCGGTACAGGAGATGGAAATGCATGAGTCCCTCCCGACGTGGTTATCTAGGCGATCAGTACGTATGTTACCCATTTTCTCTGATCTGGATTGCATGAGGCTACGAGTTGCAGGTGTCTTGACCGAATCTTTAGTTGTAGCCTCTATGAATGGGGTAATAGTAGTCACATCGAATATCAGTAGCCCGAGTAAGATGTTATGGTGTGTCAGAGTAAATGGCACAGTTACGACGAGTCGGGTAGCAAGACTGACTATATTCTTTGACCAAGGGACAGGGCTCATTGAAACTTGCTGGGGAACACAGTCAATTCCGATGGCGAAGTACTGAGACTCATCCTCTGCCCAATAGTCTCTGTCAACTATCTAAGCTTTTTCATGAGCGCTGCATAGGGCTGACAATTGCAATAGCTCCATTTATCCTGCAATACCAGCGGGTATCGGTTATATGGTATGTGTCTTTGATTCTAGATAATTTAAGCCAACACACTTAGCGTGGTACGCAATGACACAGTTGGGCAGATCGGTCTTGTCCTGACCACTCCGGCACATTTCAGGTTTTCACATATACCGCTAAGTGGAATGATGCTCGGCGACCGCTGGTTTTAAAGCTGAACACTGCACTTGTGCGGTCACGTGACGTAGAGGGTGTTTGGTTCTCAATTACCTTGTCATATTCAGGCAGTTGTCCTTGGTTGGTGTAGGAGGATTTGCAACGGGTACATGGTATATGCTCACGCGGTTAGGACGCTTATCGTTTGAAACTGGTTCCTGTGGGACTTAGTATTGTAGCTGATTCGTAGGGAGTGTCTGTCTCATATGTGTGCCAGAGATGGGCGAATGTAATCAAATACCAAAAAATGGGTTGTACCCATAGGAAAAAGTCGGGGATCGCCTCATATCGAGAGCATTCTTTATCGAACACAAGTTCATAGTTGTGGGTGTTGGTTTAGGGCAACCAATCCGCACGCTCAAAGGGTGGATGTGCTAAAACTGGTTGGGTTACAGTAATCACGATCCGTAAAGATCATTTCAGTAAAAAGGTGCCCAATGATTGCGGGAGGATACTAAACTTCGCAAAGGTGGTTGATGATTTTGCTTGGTAAAGATGGGGAGGAGCAATTCGTAATAGATTAGAAGGCACAAAATTGGCCATTGTTTACTATGTAACGGCCGTTTACTGCTTGTTTACATTTGTGGTAGTTAGCCTAACTTGAACCAACGGCTATGATCCCTGCCTATCGAAGCTGAGCATGCTGTAGCTCATTTGACCAGTTGTTCCATGACTGTTGTCGAAAGCCGTTGGTCGCTTCATTTTAAAGAAGAGATCCATGCAGAGATCGACACTAGATGCTATGTCCAACTGGTGTCTGTTGCTCTCGTTGCTAAAAAACAATAGGAAAAGCTGATGAAATGTTGGAATACTGTTCCAAGAAGTTTCACTTAGCCTAATCGGTGGAAAGTTTGTATACAGTCACCTGGGTCTTATCTTTATCAAGCTATGTCATAAAAATGCGTGCAAAAAATGTAAGGGCTAACTAAGGGCAGTTTTGTAGCACGCGATCTTCGGATGGATTACCACACGCAATTACATGCTAGCTGAAATTCGCCCTAAATTAACTCCGGTGAATTCAACCAGTGGGAGTTTGTCCAGTGTGTCAAATCAGGTAGTCCGCGTGTCTCCTTAATTCGGCCTCTTGCGATCAGTTGGTGCAAGTGAAACCAGGTTCATTTGGCCCATTCATACCTGTTCGTTCTATTTTGTATTCCACTTCGTTCTGCAGACTTTGCTAGTTTTATTACTATTCGTATCCTGACGACGCATCATAGGGTAGCTGAACGAATCGTATTTCCTTGCACGGACCATAGTTGCTCAGTTTAACTAAACCTGCCTTAACTGGGTTTTACGAAACGTTGCGTAAATGTAACTATGCTGCTTTTGAGTAGATTTATCTCAGCCAGACGCAATTAGGCAGCCAGCCTACATTCAGGAAAGTGCTATACAGTTGTTTGACCTTACTTGGTCTTGTCGCATGGGCGCTTTTGGCGGACCCTACCGAATCTGTACCCCTGACTTTACTCTTACGAGTCAGCGGCGTATGCCATCGGTCATGGGTGACGATGGATCACCTCAAGGACTGGTTTCTGGCTCAAATCTTTTTCGAGTCTCATGTACGTTTCGAGCATGCAGTGGGCAAAACCACTGTTAGCTTGGCCAGCCGCCACTAATCAAGTTGACTCGTAGGCTGCCAAGACGATTACTACTTAGTATTATTGTAGATCATGAGGGTTTACTGTGTTTCTGCTAAGATTCGTCGCAGGCAGATTTAAGCAGACAGCCGCCACATATCCAGGGATGCACTAGACGGTCATTGCTTCCTTTTGGATCTCGTCAGTAGCTCGCATCCATGAGCTGATGTAACCTAACATATATATTGAAGAGCAGTTAAACTGAATAAACTTGCGGAAGAGACAGGCCAAGAGTCACAGACCGTCTCACCAGCGTAAGTTAATTTGGTGATATGAAATGGAAGCTGCCTCGATTGTAATGACACAACGGTGCAACTCAATGAATAGGAATCCGGCAGCCTGGCTTTAAACAAGGAAACAGCTGCTGACTGATTTTTGGCAGCTATTTACTATCTATCCTACTCAAAATGAAGAATGACAGAGGCAGTGATTTCAATCCCAGTAGCTGCCTGCCCGGAATAGTCTACGGATTGTAGAAATATTGCGGCGTTACTTAAATGCTTATGCACCCGCCCATCGCTGAGGATACATGATTTTTGCCTTGCTTGAGCAAAAATATGCGTAAACGCAATACGTCAGTAGGAACTCGCGATTTTTCCTTGACACTGCACATGCTCACCAAATTTATGAAAATACCTACTATATGATCTCATTCTACATTGCGTGAATGTCGCTCTGTGCCAAGAGCATCTCACTAAGTTGGCCGCTATAATTTCACTCTAAAAAGTGTCCCTGCGGAATACTGTGTCGGCTTGTTTCTGTCTATATTGCTTCAGTCATATACAGTCAAACCTCCATAAGTTGACAACTCAAACGATTGGACCGAATTTGATAACATACACAGGTCTGAAACCGTAAAGTTTACATGGTGAAAGTTCAAGTAATTAAAAATAAAACGGTTAATTTGTAGTGGTGGTCAGTTTATGGAAGTGATCAAATTTGATGGTTTTCTGTAGTTAGTACACGCATACGGTAGCTAGTTGGAAGGGACAACTGCACCCTTCTGGGGCTCATCAGATGTGCTTCATTCTCAGATGATTCGGCGTTGGGAATAACAGTCGCTCAACTGGTAGTTTGCAGCCATACCGCTGAGTCACAAGTTGTGGTAGGACGTATTCGTTAAAGTTGTGAACTGCTAAGTGTGCTTCTATGCTGCAGATTTGACATAGGCCCGTAGATGCAAAGCTTTACGCGTTAAGTCAGGTATACCAAATGACACCGGGAGCCGCTCAGGCAATTACTACTAGGAAGCAGTTAGTAGGGGATTTTGCGCACCTTAACACCACTCGTCACCGCAAGGCTTACCTCTACTGCCATCATTGGTCTACCACGTAGCATTTCGAAAAACAGTGGGGCTGAAACGTAACAAGTTATGATTGATGTCGGCAGCGGGAATACGCAACGGAGCGATGGTTCACATCAGTGTGGAACGCCTTCTACCGGTGTGCGACCCCCTCATCTGAACTGTACTGGCGCACAGATCATGGAGAATGGATGGGACTGTTTCGCGAAACATTGTTCTCTCTAATGCGATGAATGCGTCTCCCCAGGAAACGAGAAGATTAGATATACGGGTTTTGCGGCTCTTCAGTATTCTGGAGGCCAAGTAGTCCGATTTAGAGTGGTTCAGGTAACTGTTCAGCGTCCTCAGAATGCTGCTGGCTGCGGGAACTGCAGCAGTTGCGAGCTCGTTTGACTGATTGATACTTGTTGATAGACAGTGCCAATCTCCAAATTCTTCTACGTCTTGTTGACAACGTGATCACTAGGGTGCTGAGATGTTTCAAAGACAAGCAGAGTGATAGAGTCAACAGTTAGAGGGATGTGAAACATGGGGGAAAGTGGGGATAGAAGAGGGCGACAAAAGGCAAGTGTGGACTGATATCTTGCCAACGCTCGCCAGTTATTGACGGGTTTGCAGATGAAGTAGTTGAAGTACTGGGCATGAGTATCTGATCGATGCAAGGATTGCGCCTCGCAGTATCATAATTGACCACAACTTAAAAAGTCGAAATAAACCTGAGTAAAATTTCTCACCCAGACTACATGGGAATCCGATAGGTTCTAAGTGTCCCTCCCTCACAATCTTACACTCCAAATGGTATTTTCCTTATCTGGAGTTTTCTGGTAAATTTAACCGAAGCTGGGAGTGAATTACTGGACGTCACTATAGTCAGTTGACTCTCGTGCTATTGGGCTCCCAGGTCACACGAGTAGTATGCACAGCAAAGGAGGAAAAGCGGAATTGTTTCATATCCGACCGGCGGCTCCAACACATGTGAATCATGTGGGTTATAAGCGGTTTGAACCATTGGAGAGCCCCGTGAGTTGTTAGTATCAAAATCTGTGTATGGTCTTAGATAAGGCGAAAGTTTTTCAGTTACCTTTATGTCCCCCACTCTGTCGATGCGTACATTACATTTTTTGACTCTTCTCCGTTCCATAGATACACATCACAGTGACCATGCCAATGGGATCAGAAGCTACCGGAAAGTCTTCGCCACAGAGTATGACCCAGAAGAGGATATTATGTTGAACACTGAGCTGAGTTTGGATCTGGGACCTAGTAAGCCATTTGAAATTTACTTTTCTTTAACTAGTCATGATTCGCGGAGACTATAACTAAACTTAAAAGTGAGTGCGGAATATTGTTTCGTCAAAGATTTGCTCTGTCATACTGCCTAAGAAACCCAGGGTATCCTGATGTTTTCATCGGCACGCGACAACCTATTTGTTTTGCAACTGTTATCCATATATAGCTTCCACCGTTAGGTATGCAAATTCCACACTCTGGTCAGTGGGAACTAGGGTTGTTGCCGTTTGGGTTACTACTGTCATTGCTGATGCTCAAATCATGTACGATTGTGGTCCGTTTCTAGACACTTTTGTCTCGAATGACGCTAATCTAAGTAAACAAGCTAGTCATTGCCAGTTTGCAGAGGTACTGTGGTGGCAACTGTCTCCTAGTAACAATACTCTATTGTGATATCATTTAAGTCATTCTACCCACCGATCATCTGAGTGCCTCGTTCTCCCAGTGGATCACAACCGAATTGTGTGACATGGTACCGGATCGAGACCCAAAGTCTTGTTAACCATTTCATGATATACATGCTAACTCATCATAGCTAAACTCAGTCAATCACACGCCATTTCTTCCTATTAGAAATGGTCAGCACTGCGCAACCATCTGACTCTTCAAGAGCTTGAACTCTAAACTCGACTATTGCCAGTCTGTTGTTAAGACCACTGAGCAACAGGGAGTGGTAAGGACCAACATAACTTAGTTACAGTCTATGATATGGAGCCGCTCTGTATCCGAGCGTGTGAGATTGACTAACTAGGCTTGGATATGGTGCATAATTACTTGTAACATTTAAATGACCCTACTACCTACTTGTGAGCATGTAGCAGTAGTTTCACGCCTCGAGGGATTAAGCAGAAGGCCTTTGAGATGTAACTTGTCGTGTAGCTGTTATTGAGTCTGGATAAATATTGAGTCATTATCTGAACAAGCCGGTCGTGTGGCAAAGGGGAGGTATCAGACGTGAACCAGTACTCCACGCGGACGCTTCGTTGGCATGCGACCGCACGCTGTTGTACAGCGTCTGGGGTACCATAGAAGTGCGTAAACCAATATAGGCGCTGGGACTCGATTCCTGGGAGCAGAGGTTGTATGCTTGACACCTGCTACATTACACTCGGTATACCCATAAAGTACAGAGGCATTTGTGATGTGCAAAGATTTGCATCCAGGCTCGGTTTTTACTCATGCTCGTGGACTGGTTCTGATTCCCAGGTGCCGACCATCAGTTCGCATTCATGGATAGGTGTTCAACGATTATCGGTTCTCACTCAGGCCAATCAGCGGAACTAGTCCTCCCCATGCACGCGAGGCAAAACCAATCCAGATCCATCTATCGATTCAGCGAGATAACTGCTAACCCCTTACACTAACGACAAACTCTGGGTTGAGGTTCGTTAGTTCCATGCGTGACCCGTGATCCTTGTTCCCCACCTACCCTTGCACTAACTAGTTGGATCTTCTAACCATTTGACCGTGCTTGTCCGAGGGAATAGCAAAGTTTGTATGTGCCTCATTCAAGTTCAACTCAGCAAAACAGAGTACTGGTTCGATCCGGCCTTCTTACGAACGGACCATGCTTGCGAATCTGCTCTGTTAAACAGGTAGACATTAAACGCTGTTGTTTACATGCGCCCTACGCCCTAAAGTATGCCATTCGCAACGATAAGGCTGAGCTGCCTCAGGAGCAGTTTCCCCAGTGACCCAACGAGTTTGAGAGTAACTGATAGCTACCGACCTCGTAGGCTCCGTTACCACTGACGTTTCCCCTGCTCACTGTGAAATCAAGAAGCTCGGTTATTAGACAGGCATACTATTTAAAATGGCAGCAAGGTCGGCGTTGATGTATAATCGAGAGGTACGGTGTCTATAACCATCTCGTAAGGGTGAACATGACCGCCGTCCGGTTGCAGCTTTTGAACGCGTGGCACTGCGGTGCTCCAGTCAAACGGAGGCAGATTCCGTTTACGACTTTTGAGGCGCTTCTCTTGTACTCTTAGCCGGGCAGATATCGTGCAAAACCTTGGATAAATGCTAATCGATGGCTTGTGTGTTGCTTTTACTTATCCTCTCCATTGGGTATAGATGAATTGCCGCCTGCTTGACTGGGATAGCCTTTTAAGGTGTTGTGATCTGGTGTGCAGCGGATTCCATGTATCCTTTTCATTGTTCGTAACACCCAGTATCTAGTTGCGTCAAGCCTGGTACGGCTGTGCGTTCCTGATTGTTTCCTCTCCATCCTGTAACTTGAGATTTAGCAGCTCGATCTCTTGCTGTGCTGTGTCTGGTACGCATGACAGACTATCAATTACCCATGAGTAGATGGATTTAATGAGCTTTATTTTAGTGCATCGCAAATAGATTACAAGACGGATGAGCCAACTACCAATGGGGAAAAGCCCGTGGCTGCCTGTCTTCCTCTATACACTCGACTGTGGTGTGCAATCCATCAATTCGCTTCCGAGAAGTGAACCCATGACAGCTGGTGGTTTGTAACACTGGCTACTGGCTAATGCCACTGAGCCATGTGGGACGCAATGGATCAAAAGCTAATTGCGATATTTCCCGACCCATCCTCTCCTGCTATGTAGCTTACTGCGCTTGAAGAGGATAGTGTTTGGCCTGCAATAGTGCAACTGCGGTCAGCAGTATTGTCATTACCTATATTATTACTGCCACTGTATATGTTATAGCGTCCTATGGCTGTCCCCGTGGAGACCACAGTGACAAGCAAATCCGGACACGGATGCCGCCAATCCATATTATAGTTAAAAGAAAGAAATGCAACGATATGCAATGACTATTTGATACCGTTTCTCTACAGATCATGGGTATTAATACTGGGAAGCACCGTTCCCAAGAGCAGGTGCAACGCTGACCGAGTATAGGTGTTTTAGCCATTAATACCGAGTGATCGCAGCTCACTAGATACGGCACCAATCTCGTTTCCTAGTCATCCTTCGCCACGCACACGTACACAAATTAGGAGTCGCAAACAAAGTCCAGCTCCATGGGATTTGAGCTTGTTGCAATACCAAACGGAGCGCTTTTGTGACCAAGTTTAGTTCTGATAAAACGACCACTCACTAAATATCAGTAATTATCCGACTAACATATAACATCATTGGTTGACAGTATAGGAAGTTAAAATCTACCCTTAGTAGTCAGTCCGGTCATCCACCCGGTAGCATCGGGCGTGCCAGCGAAGAACAAGGCGCGTTATGCTATTTTGAGCGGTTAAGTTCCATGGGCAGTCGCAACTATGGATAGTCCAGAAGCTCGAGCCACTGAGGGCAAGCTGAACAGCAATGGACTCGGACCCTCAGGGGTACAAAGATAATGTGTGCTGCCGAGGAGCTCACCCCAAATGAAACGTTCCTCCAGCAACTGACCGGAAGTTCGTCGTTCGTGCACCGCGTCCCGGTTTACTGTACCGGCTTGCATCGAGCACCGCTGCATCCGCGCACCTACACATAGCTACGTAATCTCCGACTGCTCGGGCAAGAAGACAATGGATAAATGCGCGCCACGACGACAGTAAATAGTCATGGCCCACAAGAACCTTGGGTTGTGGTTGTTGCTGTTGTTGTTGTTGGTTGTTGGTTGTTGTTGTTGTTGTTGTTGTTGTTGTTGTTGTAAAATGTCCTTTTGTTTCGACTGTTCTCGGAAAGACCGGAACGATTTTCACTGATAGTATTGCATGCACAGCGTAACCAACTGAATGCGGATTGGCACTGCATAGCACCGTGAAACAAAATTACAAGGTAAGCTGAATGATGGTAAGACATTTGAGTTGCATGTAGTGATAATGTCCTGACGCGAGTTCAGTGGACGTTAGTGTGAGTTGGGACAATAGGTAAAACAGTCTTCTGAGGAGAGCTCATTTGAGATCTGCAAAGTCTGAGCAATTGCATGGTGATAGCATTTGTGAGACGCACTCTGGAGAAATCTGCACAAGTTTCTCTGAGCCATTCGCACGTTGGAGCAGTTATACAGGACTAAAGCGAATATGTGATCCACGGAAGTCTCGCCATGCGTGAAGGTGACATCTGCGAGCAAACATTATAGTGACTCCTTCGTGCTGATTTTCTTATCCTCGGTAACGCGAAGCACGCCTTTACGGGCATGATCATGTTACGAGAACAAATTGTGAACAAAAATGTACAAGAACACAACATGTTTGTGATAACAGTGAATATGTGCATGGATGTGTGTGTAACTGTGCATAGGTGTAGCTTTGTAGCTTGTGTTGTATTTGTGCATGTTTGACAGCGTCGGCTATTTAAGAATAGACGAGTGGATGTAATTATCCAGCTATCCCGGGGCAGGGACGTTAGTTTGTGACGAGACACATTCGCCACGTCACAGTGTTGATAAACGGACGTTTGTGGCTTTTATAGGGAGAAAGCTTACCAGACGGAAAGCCACCACGTCCTGGAACACTGTCGCCGAACTATTTACTGAAAGGGGTTACACCCGAACCACCCAGCCGGCACCACGAGGAGGTTGTTCGGCTAGCCAGCCGAACCATTGGCCAACTCCTGGATACAGTACAGTGCGATTCAGCTGTGTGCTAGCGGAGGTACAATGCATCAAACTTTCTTGTTCAGAAAGGATAATACGTGTGGCCTTGCGTAGCATATAGAGATTAAAATACTCCTACACTACCGATGAGTTTAAAGACGAGCGTAACTTTTGCAACAATGGGTTGTTCGTCATCTTTGCAAATTGCAGTTGTCGTCTTTAATTTAAATGCTTTGAGAACTACAGTACCTGGCAGATGCTGATTTTAGAACTGGTCGCGTTGCTGTGTGCCACTGTTAGGCTACGGCAAAATTGTCATTACTATCCACTACACAGATCTAAGTTACCGAACAGCTAGTCCTATGGAAAAGTGACATGCATCCAAGAAATGGAGTTCACAGTTGTCAAATAAGTGATCTGTCTTAAGAGTTCGGTAGATGATGGAAAATGAGGTCAAG